ACACACTCCAAATCTAAAAGATGTTTTGAAAATGATGTGGGTGCCATAACTTTAATCCAGAATTTTTTACTTCCCGATTTGGAGTCAAAATGTAGTATAGTGTTAATGGAATTTTGAATACTGCTAAATTTAACAGACAGAAAGGTTACTCTGGCTGCTTCACTATTTGCAATAATAATTTGGAATTTTTCTAAAGAACGATGGGGATTTCTTCATTATTCAAAAAATTAGTGAACTCATTTAAAAATCTTAACATTTTTATATGTGAATTTTCCATTGTTTACATCCCTTGTTTGATGAATCACTCCTTTTCCTGGGCTCATAGAATATTTAAGTTGGGACAAATCTAGTTTGAAATCTTCACTTCTGTTTTTTTGGGTTTTGGTATTTGGAGATTTTTTTGTTTTTGTTTTTGCTTCTTTTTGGTTTTCTATGTGAATACAGTATAATTCTTCTTTGTAGGAAATCTGGTAAAAAACATATTTTCCAGCATAATTATAGTTATCTTCAAATATGCTATACTTTATTCTGCTGCTTTTAAATATGTGAGAACATATAACTTATTTAAACTACTCCAAATGATTTTGAAAAGCTTCACTGGAAGAACACTTTTACTCATATAAAAAATACAGAAAATGCAGCCTAAATGCCAAAATAATAAAGAATATATTAAATAGTGAAAGAAAAAATATATATTGTTATTAACAATACCTGGAACAAGTTATGTGTTTGTAGAATTATGTCCTGTGTCCTTGATGACCAATTATAGACTGTTCCTGAATCCACAGTGCCAGAGCTGAGGTGAGATATACATTGTTCCTCTTATGGTTTCAGATTGAGAAGACATGCTACTGTTTTAATTCTTACAAGATCATCTTTTTTTTTTTCAAATGGCAATAATGACCAGATTCAGTTATTTCATTTGGGAAGTATACAGATCATCATAAATCAGGATGTCATAGTTCCACTCTTGATTGTTTCTTCAAGACAAGCTTTTCTAGGCTATGAGAAGCACACTTTCAAATTAGCTCAATTATCCTGTAGCTTCTAGTTAATCTTTGAGACTGAATTAGTATATTTAAAAATTTGTCTCCTTGTTAAACAGACACTATGACAGTGTTTGCATAGTGTCTTGTTAACCTCCAGTGGAAGGTTAAGCGGCTTCTTCTGTATCTAAATCTGTTGCTGTGAGAAGTGACTGCAGCTCTGCACCCACCTACCCATGAATGGAGAAGAGAAGACCTGCATCTGTGGAATTAGGGGCAGCAGCAGGAAATAAGAGAGTTTGCAGCATATAATTAACTTAGGAATTTTTTTCTCTTTTTAAAAACAGCATGTTCATCTCACTAGATTAGTGATTAACTCTTGAGAAAAACTTGCTGGAGTATGCACCCTTACTTAAACTCATTCACTCACTGGTGTATTTTATTACTTATGCAGCCTATGTCAGAGGCACTCACCTTACCATACTTTATTTCCTTCCATAGTTATTGATTTCCTTATGTTCAGAGGGAAGTTTTGAAGATGTTTGTATCTGTTCCCTAGAACTTTGTTAGCCAAATTCTGTCCTTTTCTGAATCCAATTACAAGTGATTTGGGAGATTCCTACCCTAATAAGCAAGATGGAGAAGTTAGTATCTAGGAAACTGAGGCAGATGTTTAATAAATAGGAGAATTAAAAAAAAGCATTTACTCTAAGTGGTATTTAATACATGGCGTGCTTGCTATGTGGTTTTTAATTGTTAACTTTTGCCATTCATTAAGAAAACCATAATTCAATTACCAGTGTAGTAAAGATTTCTAAGCATAGCTCTTTAGAACATAGTATTCTTGATGAAAACTCATGCAAATCCGCAGTTGTCAAAATTTAATAGGCTGCCTCTTTGAGAAAGTTGGTGGGCACCCACTTGCACCAGAATGTGTGGCAAAATGCTATCTCTGTGGTGCAGTCATATGCATTCTTTTCATTTACACACTAGAAAGCAAAAACTTAACAGAATGTGTTCAGTTATTTGTTTTCTAGCTAAACTTCATTCCTAATAAGATAACATGTAATCATGGAACTCAATACAATGACTTCCAAACTATGTAAATGTTACTGCCATAAAGCCGACTTTGCATAAAGGAGCGCTGAACCAGTGATAATGCCTTCTATCCAAACACATTTGCACTGTAAGTAGAAACTGTTTAAAAGGAAAATTACATCTTTTTCAGCAATTTATCAGAGATAATTACCCTTCATACACCAAAGGAAGGATGAAGTGTTTTAAGGAACTATAATTCTAATTGGTAAATGTCACCAACTGTTGGTGTAACTCTTACTTGTGTATATTTTTTTAATGATTATAGTCTCATGCCACAAGCTACATGAAAATATATTCACTAGGTGTGAAATTCCCATATGTCATAGTTTCAAGAATAGGTAAACAACTCAAAGATGAAGAAATAATGCTAATGAGGAATGTAAGAAATCTAGGGTTTTTTTCTCTAGGCAAGTGGATCTTAATCTACCAAAAGAGAAAAAAAAATGTAATTTAAAAAAGAGAAAAAGACAGAACACTTAATTTGTTGGAATAAACTTTTAAATGAGCTTAACCTCACCCTCAATCAGAGAGTCTTAGTTCTTTAGAAAGTTGTAGACCTGTCTCCGGGCCTGCCAAAGGAAACAGCATTTAGTTTTCTTTTAGGCTTAAACTGTGAAGTGCTTTGTTAGTTTTAGATAATGGAAGATAAACTTTTCCTGGACAGTGTTTCATGATGTCTAATGTTATCCTGAAAATGATCAAGGAAACAGAAAAAATACCTTATAGTCCCTGGCAAGTCTTTACAGTCACTGTTTTTCAGTCCTCCTGGCCATAACTTAGTTTCCATTGAGTTCTGATGGTTCAAGTGCTTGACTAGATTAAACTTCTCAGCATACTCTTTCAAAAGGTGGAAGTAAAAATGGGGTTAGGGTGGGGAGAAATGATGGAGAAGGCAAGGTTTGTCTGTCCTTCACCTCCCATTTGATCTGGGATGTGCCCAACTGACTTTGGTGTTATGTATATCATAGCATTTTGTTTCTAAGCACTTGACTGGAACTCAGATGTGGGGTTGGCTTGTTAATATAATGTATAGAAAATTGTTTTCATGTCATTTTCATCCTGTGGCAGTATGTTCTCTGAATGTTCTCATTTTCAGTGTTTGATAAAGTTTAAGAGGCACAGGGAGAAACGCTTATCTTAATAGTATTAGTAGTAGTTAGTAATCTTTGTACAAATCACCCTTTCTCTTTACTGGAAAAACCCCTTGTATAGCATTCACCACCACCCCCATCCCTCACTCACACATGAAGAAACCAACCTAGATTTCTCTTGATTATCCTTGTGGCTTTATTTAAGCTTTAAAGCATTGCTTATGAGAATTATGCAGAAGAATAGTGAAGGAGTGAATTTGGTAAGTTGCATCCATTAGGTTTGGAATGTATTTCCTATGTTGTATATGGATGCTCTTGAAGGAAAGACCAGTGAGGACATTTACATGAATAGTTTCACATTGTCACTGATAACTAATTTTATTATATCAGGGTTATGTTTGATAGGATCCTTGAATTTATATGTGTGTGTGTGTATGTGTGTGTGTGTGTCCCTTGAAGCTAAATATAAGAGCAGTAAGAACCTGCTCTGACTCATTACCCAGAAATAACTTTGATACAAAAAAAATAAAATTTTTAATTAATAAAATATGCTCATTGCCTATACTGTGCACTGGTTAAGAGATGGACAGTTTTATCACCACATATAACATATACTCCTCGCCCCCCAAAAATGACAAGAGCTTGCTGTCCTTCATTCAAGAAGAAGGTGCTGCCATTGTCCTAGCATTCACTCAAGATGTATCTTGTCTTTCCAGCAGTAGTAATAGTTAAAGGATCCATATCCTCTTTCACCTATTTCCCCTGCAATATTTTAGCAAAATGAGTCTGTTACAAGTGCATGTAATGGCTACGAAGTGATGTAAGACTAACGGACTTATCTGGGCATCAGTTTTACCATTTTGTTACTATTGATGTCACACTCTAATCAAATGAATAACTCATTATAGATTATGAATCAACTCCAGGTGTAAACCATAGAAATAAACTGTTTTTATTAATTAGTCCAGTTATATAAAAGTCAAAAAAGAACTAAAGATAAGTCTAGGAGGAACTCTTTAGGAGCCATTCAGTTTTTTGTCCCTTTCTAGTGCTGATTTTGTAGACTGTTGCAAGGAGAAATTATATTAACTGCCCAACTCCTCTACCACTAGAAGACACCAAATATTGTATAACTTTGGGTAGTTATCCATACCTTTGACTCTTCATAGGAGACTAGTTCATTCATATTCTTACTGCATTTCTAAAATAAAGTAAATCCTTGACATAGTATTGATAAATATGAATGAGTAGAAGCAATAGATAATCCATAAAATTTTGTAATACATTAAATATCTTTTGCCCAATATCTTCCTAATAATGTTTTACTCTGATTAACAAGAAAATTTAGTTGGTATGCCTTGAGCACCCATAGCAGTTAGGAAGGCAACTCAAGGAAAGTTAGCGTTTTTGTCTCTAATATGTATGGAAAAACTAGCCAGAAATAGTGAGAAATGAATTGTATTTGCAATTAGGAAATGATGATTGCATGTGGGGATATTTTTGAAAAATTCATCCATTTATACTGCTTAGCATATTCACCTTTCAAGATAACCATTTAAAAAAAACACGTACTAGTTTATAGCTGTGTATTTCTACTCACTTTAGTAATGATGAATATGACCCCAAGTTATAGACAGCAGTAGTGAACTATTTTTCTTTAACTATGGAGTTTCCTGAAGATACTCACTGATTTGGTCATGAGCATATTTTACCAGTATAATTTTAGAAATGATATAGTGAATGATGTTCCAGCGTTGTGATTAAATAATATTTTCACAATCGAGACCTGATGTTTTATTATTCCCACACTATTCTCTCACAACAGAAACCAGGAATGGATCTGGCAGACACCTATATTATGTTTGTTCGGCAAAACCAGGATATTCTTCGAGAAAAGGTCAATGAGGAAATGTATATAGAAAAGTTGTTTGATGTAAGTAACTATCCTTGCAAGGTATGCTGGCGTAATAGGTATAATGTGAAGGGAAATTTTCCCTTTGATGGTCTGTTTGCAAAGCAGACTCTCCTTTTTTGATCTTTATTCTTCTCTGCAGCTAATATAGTTGATAATTTTATTTCTTTGACTGCTGACAGAAGTTTTAATTGGCTTCTTTTTGTGCATTAAAACTGTCCCTGTTAGGATGAGAGTCTCAACAACCTGCTAAGGTTAATTTTAATAAGCAAGATGAAAATCAGTTTACCATTGTGTACTGCATCATTTCACTCGCCTTTGCAGTGTGCCATAAACAGAATCATATTGTAATGGATTTGGCCCCTACTATAAAAGTTACTTTAAGTCAATATAATATTCCCAGTGAAGCAAGGATATAAGCTGCAGTGAAGCCAAATAACTGCCACTTTACTGTTACTGAATATTTTTATCTCATTACAGTTCTGAAGTATGCTAAAAGATACAATCCTGCTGTTTTATCAGTACGAGGGTCTTCATTTATGCGTGACCCCTCATAAACATGGGGGGATTGTGGTTTTAGATACCATGATCCCCAAGTTTCATTTATTGAGCATCTGTAAGGGAGCAGTCCATTTCAAAAACAATGTCGTCTTTCATTTGTAATTATTTAACAGTCAGTTCAAAGGAAATGGTACTTTGCTTCTGACACAACTTTGCATAATTTACACAGTGCTAATCCTGAAATGTAGTATTTGCTTTGAACTGTATTTGTGTACTTCTCTGTATTTTAGAAATGCTTTTCTGGCAGTTTCATTTAATTATGCAAGTTACTGCAAATGTTTTCATAACAGCAATTCACGAGCTTCACAGTGACACTTCAGCTGTGGCAGTTACAGAAAGTCCTGCTACGCCATCATCTCCGCCATGGTCTGTCGTGTCACTGTTCACTGTGTGTCAGGTTGGGTGGTCAAAGTGAGTCTTATCGTTCGTATTTTATATTTCTAGCCTCTACCCAGGCTGTTTTACAATAAAAGTATCATCTGTTTTAATAAGCCGAGTGTTAATATGTGCGAAAAGAATGATTTCCTAAAAGCTTTGATGCCCTGCAGGGGTAGAAAAATTATCATCCATCCAGCTGGCTCTTTTACAAAATACAGAAACCATCTTAGCAACTTCTGCTTCCATTTGGTATTGCTCTGAATTGACTAGCATATGTTTCACTTTCAAGTTCTTTTACTTTTTTTACTTATGTGGTAATTTTCAAGAATGTTGAACAGAAAAGGAAAGTTGAGTTGAAGTGTCCCATTATGTTTCTTCTTACTAGAGCTAAAGCACATATTCTATGGTGAAAAATGGTAGAGACCTTCTGGAAACAGGCCATTGTGGATGAGGGTGTGTGTGTGTTTGTGTGTGTGTGTCTGTGTGTGTGTCTGTGTGTTTCTTTTGTCTTAGTGACCTCTTCACTACAAAGCTTGCCATCAGTTTATAACAAGTGTAATATTTTCTCTGTAAAAATATTCCCACCTCAGTTCCCCTTCTCAGTTCCCCTTCATTCACCAAACTTTGGAAGACTTTTTGTGTAGCAACAATAACAAATAGAGTTAAAGAGTGGACGCAAGGAGGCCAACATTAAAATGTTGTGCTAGCTTAATTGTCCTGGTTATGTGTACTTTTTCTAAAGTACCTCAGCCTCTGACATGGATGTGAGTTTGCTTCTAAAAGGGATCCTGGGCAAGCGCCCATTCTGTTTTGGTCATGAAGGTTTTGTCATTTAGCATCTCTCCAGTAGAACATTGGATTTATTTGTAAAATAGTTTTAATGTCTCTAAACATTCTAGTATTTTTGAGTTGTACATTTTTGTTATTATAATTTAGAATTAAAAGTAGACTATAATTCCATTGATATGTCATCAAGAATAATATGTCTGAGGGGGTACTAAGAGCTCCTAATTAGCTAAGACTAAATTTACCTCAATTACAGTTGGTAAATGGGAGGTTATCAAGCATGTGTTGAAAGGCAAAGTGGAATGTGTATCTTAAGCATCAGATCATTACAGAGAGACATTATATAATTACTGAAAATCCACTTGGCTGGAGCTTAAAATAATATTGTTAGGGGTCAAGAAACAGTTGAAAATAATGACACTATAAATAATGTTAGCAATCTTAGTCTATTACAAAGAAAAGATGGAAGAGAACGGTTTTATTCAGGTGTCATGACAAACTTTTACTATTCCAATTAAAGTACTTCCTGAGTAGATAAGGAGATGGAGCTTCTTAACTTCAGGTGCAGAGGAAAATGGGCATACATGTGCATGTGCATGCACACACACACACACACACACACACTCTAGTGAGTCAGCATTTAGTGGTATTAACCAACTCAGAAGGGTACAGGGGCTATAGTTTCTAGTCATATAATAAGAGCTTAACTCCTTAAGAAGGATAGCTTTTTACCCAGATGAAATTTGCTTAGTCTTGGAAATACCACATATAACAACATTTTTATATAGAACAGTTATTCTGCAAGACAGATATTCATCCTTCCTCCAACACCAATACTTCCATAAAGAACTCATCAGTCTGACTAACCTTTCTCTGCATGATGTCCCACCCACAGAAAAGACTATTGAAAATTCTGTGGAACATTCCCTGAGAGTGGTACCTAATCATTTGTGGTGTCCCTGGCCTCAAAAACTTTTTTGACCAATAAGCATCCTAATTGTTCATGATATTTGTGGTGAAATACCTTAGCATTCTAGTGAAGTATTTGTGCTCATGCTTTGAGATGCAGCTGCAATGGAGAATAGTCCCCTACAGTTGTCCATATGTAACCCCCAGCCATATGCCACGCCCCAGCTTCCTGAGCATCTCGCACGGCTATCATTGTTCTAGCCTGCAGGGGAAGTGTTTTTGTTTCTTAACTTCAAAGTCTTAAAGAGGAGCATGATTAAAATCTATATTATCTTGAAGGCCATAAATAGGATAATCTTACACTTTTACATCAAATCTTGAAATAGTAAAACTTAAAGTACCCTTTGAAGTTCAAAAAAAGTTAATATTAGAACAAATACCGAGATACTATACTTCCGTAAGTGGTTAAATTTATATAACACTTTCTGCTTAAAACAGAAATGACTTCAAAAATGTGTAAATAAATGATAGCAAATCCATGCTGTTATTAGAAGGAACCAAATTTAAGGTACATTCCTAACCTTTCCAAGTTATCAAAATAATAATAATAGTCTTAACTGTCACCACTGCCATTCCCAGGGCACCTTCACATATCAGAAATGTGCTGGGTGCTTTATCCATATCATTTCTAACCATCTGTGCTAAGTGTCATCATCTCCATTTTACTCTTCTTTTCAGGTTAAGAAACCTCCCATTCAGAGAAGATAAATTACTTGCTACATATTGAATCTGACTTTGAAATTATGTATCTCTACTTTTCAAAGTCCATGCCATCACTATGATATCTCAGACTTCCAAATTTGAAATGGTGTTGTAGGAAGAGGGCTGAACCAGGAATCTAAAAACTTAAGTTCCAGCCACAGTTCTGCTATTAATTTTATAAGTGAGTTTCAAGAAGTTATGACACCTATTTAAGTCTCAGTATAGTTAAGGAGATATAAACTGAAGAAATTGGTCTGGAACTCCAGATAGTTTCAGAAATCCCTTCCAGATTTTAAACCAACTCAATTAAATTAAATTTTAGCAATGGCAACAAAAATTGCTGGGTTGGTTACATGCTGAATCTTGCACCCCAGAGTAGTAATTCTTAAGTTTTATGCAATAGCCACGTGAAATCCGTTATCTTACACAAGAAGCAAAAGCAAGAATAGTGAATGAGAAAGTAGGAAAGAGATTCTATATACAAGAATAGCTGTGCCATATAACATTCCATCTACCACCATGGTTCTGAACCCCAAAGTTAGAAAAATAGAATTCATATATTGTTTATCTATGCTAACTCTCCTTGAGTGACCAGAATATTTATTATTATTTTTTTATTGAAGTACCATTGATATACAATCTTATTCAATCTTCAAATATACAACATGGTGATTCAATATTACTCTTATTATTAAATCCTCACCCCCCTCTCGTGCAGTTACTCTCTGTCAACATAGGTGTTACATAATCATTGACTATATTATCCATGCTATACTACTATCTCTGTGACCAACTTATATTATGACTGAGAATTTTTGTGTCCTTTTATCCCCCTTGCCCTTCCCCCCACCTCAACCCCTCCCCAATGCTAACCACTAGTCCCTTCTCAGTGTCTATGAATCTACTGCTGTTTTGCTTTGTTTTTATATTCCAGAAATAAGGGAAATCACATGGTGTTTGTCTTTCTCTGCTTAGCTTATTTCACTGAGCATAATACCCTCTGGATCCATCCATGTTTTTGCAAATGGCAGGATTTTTTAATGGTTGAATAATATTCCATTGTGTATATGTACCACATCTTCTTTATCCATTCATATATTGATGGACATGTAGGTTGCTTTCATATCTTGGCTTTGTAAGTAGTGCTGCAGTAAACATAGGGATGCATAGATCTCTTTAAATCAGGGATTTTGTTTTCTTTGGGTAAATTCCTGGAAGTGGAATTACTAGGTCAAATGGTATTTCTACTTTCAGTTTCTTGAGGAACCTCCATATTGCTTTCCATAGCAGTTATACCAATTTGCATTCCCACCAACAGCATAGGAGCGTTCCTGTTTCTTTGCATCCTTAACAGCATTTGTTGTTCCTTGCCTTTTGGATAATGCCCATTCTAACTGGTGTGAGGTGATAGCCCTTTGTGATTTTAATTTGTATTTCCCTGATGATTAGTGATGTGGAGCATCTTTACATGTGCCTGTTGGCCATTTGTATTTCTTCTTTGGAGAAATGTCTGTTCAGGAAGTGACCCGAATATTTTAAACAGAGGCTCTCTGTGCCTCTTAAGTGGTCATGGGTACACATGCTAAATTGAAAATCTACGTGTTAAATTTACCTTTTCAATTAAA